CACCTCCGAGACACCCGCTGTGGTGCATCACAACGGCAGCCTGAGGGATACAAGCCATCAAGGCGTCCCACCAGCCCTGCTCACTTTGCAAGAAAAAAAAAAATGTGATACACCGCACGGACCCTATTTGTCTGTTCAACCGCTCCGTTCGGGTGGCGTCACGGACAAGGCCGACTTTTGTCGGCCACAGGAGGCGGAAGCTCCTCAAACTCGGGGAGGGGTCATGATCGGCGATTCCCCACCGAACCATACTCAAGACTGCGCGAGATTTGCATTGTAGCTCGAGATCAGCATTTCGGGCCGGGTCGGGCAAGGGGTGGTGGAGTCGAATGAAACTTCCACGGAGAATGGTCTGAGAAGCTGAAGCTAAAGCTTACAAAAAAACAGAGAACGACTACTTCAAAGGATATATTCTTTTTGAGTTGGGTAGTGTCACAGATATCCTGGCCCTAAGGCTGCGACGGATTTGTCTTCGGAAATCCCAGGCCGAATGCATATCAGTCCGTTCATCGTGCGTCGGGACAAGCGGCAAGACACACGGGTCTATTTCAAACTTCTGAACAACCATAATCAATCTGGAGGGGAACTCCAAATACGAAAGTGCACTCCGACGGGCCCAGCGGAGATGACACGAACGAGAATATTATAATCGCAAGGCTCATACATCTAACCTTGGCTCTCATGGGACAACACACTTCTTCAACGAGCGAACAATAATATGCTATTTAGCACGAGCTTTTCTCGCTACCCAGGACGAATGATAAAATGTCTGCGATCAGGACTGGCTCCGCTCAGTTGGGTGCAAGAGGCCGTCACAGCATGCACAGGACACAGTCCACCTGTCGCTTGCGCGCCTCTTGAATATTCACGTCTGTTGCGCGCCTCTGCCGCCGCGAACCAATTGTAGGCGCCTTAGCATCATATAGCATGGCGACTCCGATTCAAGGCCGTGACATGTTCTCGTAGCATACATCAGCCCGCCGCTCAAAAGAGCAATCAACTGCTCTAATTCTCCCATTTCAACAGACACCTGACGCCTTGGGACTTTCAGGCGAAAGGGGAGGGACGCATCGTCACACAGCACATCCTACACACGGCACACAGACCACTTTGCCACAGCTACAACATTTCGTGCTTCCACAGACTTCACATCGACAACAGCAACTTGTGAAACGGCTTGCACGTTTTGACTGCAATCACCTGTATGACTGGACCAGCCTTTGCCACATTCTGCTATGCCCTTACGCATCACCACAAAGCTTTGGCAACCTGTACCAGGTATGATACTACAGTACTAAGTCGCCCTCCGTTTATCGTACAACCTTCCCCCCAACAGTCGCTCGGCTGATGCCAACGGAAACGACGATAAATGTCATAGCAGTGTGCAGGGGGGGGGATAACCCAAGCACATACAATTGCCAACAAGGCAAATTAAATCCAACGCAATAGCGACCACACACGACCACCGAGATCTCAATCGCAAATATGTAGATACCTTTCCTGAGACTTGATGTTGTTCTGATGTGTGACCATGACTACGCAGGAATACCTGCATCCGGGCTATGTCCCCGGTGGAAGATAATCTTGTTCAAGGCATTGCTGAAAAAGACACCCAACATCGTACCGCCAGTAGGATACGAACCTCAGTACCCAAACACTTATTCAGGCTCGGCATATCGACGAGCTTCATGGCTCAATCAACTCAGGGAATACGTTAACTCAAGAAATTCCAAAACCGTAAGACAAGGAGCAAATAATACAACTACGCATGACACGAACGAGAATGAAGCCACCACACACACCATGGCCATCACTCCTCGCACTCTCACGACGCGCTCCTGGCTAGGAAATCACGCTGTTCGGCCGGATGACAGTAGTGGTAAGCGAGAATCCGGACCATCCCTATCGTGGCCACCACCGCCGCCGTCGAGAGCACTTGTATCAGTTATCACGATCTCGAAACCGTCGGAGTTGGAGGCGGCGGGGGGTAATGACTTCAATTTGGACGGGGACGGGGCTATGGCGTTGCCCGCTAGCGAAGCGCTGCGGCGCTTGACCAAGGTGCCTCGGATGTTCGACCTTGGAGAAGAATCAGTGTCGATGTCGTGCTTAAACGACGATCCGGAGATGGAGAGACTTCGAC